GTAATCTTCCGAGGTGCCAAGTGGTGAGATGGGTAGAGGGCTAATCCTACCTTTGTTGGATCTTGGGGGAGGGCATTTGCCGATGAACAGAGCTATCTCTTAAGTGCGGACATCTGCTGTGGCCTCTGGGGGAGGGAGGGGGCTATTAAGAGTGAGCCTGCTTCCTGTCTAAAAAACCATGCTTCTCCATTTCACATCCAGGGAAATATAATATTCTGCCTTTTTAAATATTTCTTAGAATATTTAATTTTTTCTAGGCGAGGGGTGGGTGCTAACGTCCCACACACCAAAGGCCAGGAGAAGTAGTAATGGGTGAAAGATTCAAGTTGCTGTGAACAGTGAAATGTAAAACAGCCAACGAATCTTAAAATAAATGGAGGCGTGGCTCCTGAGCCTTAACAAAAGTGCAAATGATTTTAGAATATTGTATTTGAGCGTACAATCTTTTATAGGGGAGCATGATAGCACCCCCCTGTGTTGGAAGGAAATGCCCATCAGGGTTCAGTTCCAAGTGAGGGGAAAATGACATTGGAAACATGGAGGCTGCTTGGAAAGATGGTTTTAATGGTGGACAGGACCACGTGGTTTGAGATCCTGGGGGGGAAAGTGGGATTGCATGCCTCAAAGATGTTGAAGAAGAAAAAAAGAGCTGAGATGCTGAGAGTGACCTGGTTTTATGCTCTCTCTGGGCCCCACTTCCAGAGCCTCCCTTCCTGGGCAAGAAATGCATTCTGATTGCTGGTCAGGCTCCCAGGGGGCTGAGGGGTCTTAAGCTAACTTTGTAGACTGTTTTGTCTTTTGAGTCCTAAGCTTGGTTGAGCTGCTGGCTGATGTAATCTTCCCAGGTGCCATGTGCTGAGATGGGTAGAGGGCCAATCCTACCTTTGTTAGGTAGAATAGACTGGCTCAGGCCTTAATGGCCCGTTGACAAAGGTAGGGCAAGGGGAGCAGGAAGCTGCAGAGAACCGCTTTATTTTGAAAACATGTTTCTCCTTGCCTCATCCAGGGAAATATAATATTCTGCCTTTTTAATATTCCCTAAAATATTTCATTTTTTCTAGAAGAGGGAGGGGGTGGGTGCTCGCTTCCTACAAGAGTATCTATTTAAAAACGCCCTTGAGAAGGACGACAACAATATTATATCCTGCAATCGTGAAGATTGTTCTTTTCACTTTGACGGCATCTGCAAGTGGGCTCTTTCAAGTTGTTTGCAGACTTCTGTCGGAAAACCGGCCTTGACAACCCGAATCTCTGTGGTTTGTTGTTTTAAGACTGGCTGCAGAAACATCTGTCTTGCCAGAGATATGCAACCTCCCACAAGCGGTTGGCTCTCTGGGGA